TTTGCTGGTAAATTTCTGAAAGATAAAAGTAGCGGGAGTGATGATTCTTACCAGCATCACTTTGACTGAGTCTGACATCAGGGCCACATAAGATTTCAGCACATCGTAATGAAAGGCTGGGGTGAGCAGCTTCCGATGCTGGAACCATTTGGTTCCATTCAAAACCAACAGCCCCTGCCCTGGAAACACAACCAGCAAAGGTGCAATCAGCATCTCCATACTCTGACCATGGCTCTGACAGCCTCACTACTGCTTTTGACCAAGCGCAGGCTAATGTGCAGGGTCCGAGGGAAGAAGAGTTGTTGGTGGAGTCCTTTCTCCAGCCTCTCTGGGGCCATTCACAGCAGCACTCTTTGGGTGAAGGAGAAGCATGCCCACGTGTCCTTCACTGCTGTGCGTGCTGAATGTACCCTGAAACCAAAGACTTGGTGGCAGAGGCACAGGACTTGCTCTCTGAGATGAGTTTTTCTGCTCTAAATGAAATATTTGGATGTCTTTTGCAGCCCATGCTGACAGTTGTTTGCAGGACTGAAGGACTACCTCAAAGCTGCGTGCGAGCCATGAACCTCCCTGCCCTAGGTGTCTCACTCCAGCTATCCATGGTAGTATTCAGTCCCTGAGCAAACCGAAGGTTGCTTTGTGAAAGTCGGGGTTTGTGATCCCAGGCAAAGCTACCTGATATGCTCCACAACTAAGTGGACACCACCGGTACTAACGCTCACACTCAAGCAAACGCTCTCATTTGCAAGCTCTGGTTTTAGAGTGGAAGAAAGTAAAATAAAGGAAGACAAGAGAGAAGCTGTTGGAATGTGCAAATGACTGAAAGGGATTATAGAAGAGAATGACTTACCGATCCAGGGAACTAAGAGTTTGTAGAGTGCGTCAGCCTTGTCGTCTATAAGACAAAATAGATACCAGAACAGTATGATTGGCTAATGAATTCAACATAACAAAAAAGAAAATTCAGAATAGAATCATAGAATGGTTTCAGTTGAAATGGACCTTAAAGATCATCTAATTCCAACCCATAAATTGACATAAGAGTTTGTTCTCCAAATCACAATGTACAATTAGTCTCATTTTGTTTCTTAAAATACTCTAACACTAGAGGTAGAGTTTAAAAGTGGTGTCCTACAAATATGACCTTGTGGACTTGAGGAAACCAGAGGAAGGTGTAATGAATATTGTGTGTAGAGAAGAAATGACCATGGTAAATGTCAAAATAGAGAACAATGGATCGGAGCTGCTGGAGATGCTTGTGTATGTGCCTGTGTATGTACCACTCACTGGCATCATGGTCCATAGAAAGGAGCAGAGGAGAAGACTTGAGATGTCTTCTGAGAGCCATTGCCATGCTAGCTCACCCATATTACTGAGTTTACTGGGAAACACAGATATTGTGATGGTAGATGCCATAGAAGACAGTAAGACCAACGATAATGGAGAGAGTGGACTGGGAGGAACAGGTAGATGGTCATTGTTTTGCACGAGAATACAAACTGCTCCATGAAACCTGAGGTGGGCTGGGAGTTTATGAAGGGGAGAAAAAGAGGAATTGCAATAGCTGTGAATGAAGCTGGCAGAGAGGATGACTCCAGGCTAGGTTCCCACTATTTTCTCAGTAGGGAAGAGTCAAGGACATGACTTCTCAAAACCAGACGTAGAGACTTACGTGTTTGGCCAAGTATAGTTTTGACATATTCAGGATGGTGGATGATTAGAGAAGGCAGGATTGGTCCAAACCATCTGGGAAAGGCATAGGGGTATTCTTCTGCCCATGACACCATCTGAGTTAGCACTTTATCAGTAGTTATCTGGAATGACAGTTAAGCAAGGACTGAACTTAGGCAGAAAAAGAGGGTCGTGCCAAGGAAAGCAGAAGCTAAACTTGCTCCTTCATGGAAAGTACACACAATATGTCCTCTCCTGGGAAACAAGAGGAGAGTTCGTGGATTTGCTACGGGGCACTTTCCATGCTGCAGGTAGAGGAGATGCTGGTCACAGCAAAGGGACCGTGCACAGGTGGCAAAGGTGCCTGAGCACTGCTTCCCTGCAGCACAAGGTAGCTCCATGGAGAGTCCCCAGCTGGAGCACAGCTGCAGTCAAGCTGTGTTAGGACAGCCTGGGCCAGGAGCACTCAGGAACTACAGCCGACATGGACAATGCCAGTATGCCTGGTGAACAGGCCAGGGAGACCAAGGCTGTTACAGCCCAGTTCTCTAAAATCAGCAGTGCAAGGTGGGCATGCAACATGAAGGCAAAAACATTTACACTGTAGAAGAATGCAAATGCCTGTGATAAAATGCCCTGGTTTTGTGGCCATGTCTTCTTAGGTGTGTGTAGGGGGAGAGACTCTTATTGGTAGACGATTTAATGCAGAAGAATCATAGAATCATAGAATCGTCTGGTTGGAAGAGACCTTCAAGATCATCGAGTCCAACCCTGCACTGTCAGGATCCCTAAACCGTATTGCTCAACACCAAATCTACACAGTTTTTAAACACCTCCAGGGATGGGGACTCTACCACCTCCCTGGGCAGCCTGTTCCAATACTTCACAACCCTCTCTGTAAAGAAATCTTTCCTGATATCTAACCTAAATTTCCCCTGGTGCAACTTGAGGCCATTCCCTCTCATCCTGTCATTCATAACATGGGAGAAGAGACCGACCTCCATCTCCCTACAACTTCCTTTCAGGTAATTGTAGAGAGCGATAAGGTCTCCCCTGAGCCTCCTCTTCTCCAGACTAAACAGTCCCAGCTCCCTCAGCCGCTCCTCATAGGACAAGTTCTCTAAACCCTTCACTAGTTTGGTTGCCCTTCTCTGAACCCGCTCCAGCACCTCAACGTCCTTTTTGAAGTGAGGGGCCCAAAACTGGACACAGTACTCCAGGTGTGGCCTCACCAGTGTTGAGTATTAGAGAGACATTTTATGGTAGCTCATATTTAAATAACTTCATGAAAGTCCCAGAAATCACCTAACTCTATGTTTAATTACATGATCCCAAACAGCGTGGCTCTGTTTTTTATCAGAATGATGCCCATCTCATACCCAGGCAACCTTTCTGCCTGCCCTACAAAAGCCTTGGCACTCCCTGTGCAAAGAGGTCCTCTCCTGTAGGAAGAAACATGAGCAGAGCACACACACACTCCATTTGGTACCCCTCACATCCTGACTGATATCTTTCACAGTTGTTGGGACAAACCCAGTCTGATTGAGCCCAGCTCCCTCCTTACCAGGTGATTGTGGCCATAGAGCCAGTGTTTCGGGGGACCAGGAAATGCCTCCAGGATTTTGATGAGTTTCTTCCTCTGCTGGTAGAACCGGACCACCTTCAGCAGCACGAAGATGACACCAAGCACCACAGACAGCTGCAAAACAACAAAAGAAGGTCTGGCTATGTTGTCCAGCAGAGACGCCATGATGACCCTGCATCCAGGACACTCGACACTGCCTTCTTCTGGCTGCTCCTCTTCTGCTCCTGCTGTGCCTGCGTCTGACAGGGAGCTAGGAGCAGGTAAAAATCCTCTCCCTCCTGCTCTGCTGAGCCTGGTGAAGCAGTGCTGGCAGCAATTTATAGAAGCAGCATTATCATGCTCAGCGATGAGTCAGCTTGGCCAGCCGCCTGATTACCTGCTGCTCCCTTTTGACCTGCTTCCAGGACCCTGTGGATGGAGGTGGGTTGTTGACAAACAATCTGTGCATATATGCTACTTCCTTTAAAGTCCTTCACACTCCAGCAACGAGTGAAAGCACTCAGAGTCATCCATGCTAAGGTGGAGGAAGCCATAGGAGGAAGGAGGTAAGAGGTAGCCAGGCTCAGGCTCTAGCTGAGCTCCTTGCCATCCTCGGCCAAATTCAGGTCTGGAAGCCATTCATCCACTCACGTAAAGTGAGGAACAAATGGGCCACCTCTTCCAAACACATGGGCTGGATGGATCCAGTTGCCTCCAGCTGTGAAAACTGTGCCCTGAGTGCCTGCAACATCACACAGCACTCCCAGACTATGATGGAGAGAACGGACATAACCCCATCAGCACACAAGGGACCGTGGCTCTGTTCTCCAAGAGGTCCTACCATAGACAAGCCAGGAGACAAAACTGCTGGCCAGAAGAATTACCATGGTCAATTAAATAAGACAAGGAGAGGGAGAGAAGCAGAGCAGTCAAATGAGCTGCAGCAAGATGAAGGGTACATCTAACCTGATAGGGAGGCGTGATGGTCATGTTCCCTCTACAGCCCTGGTGAGTTCTCCTTCCCCTGTCTACACAGCACCTCACCGTTCTCCAGTAAAAGTCTCCATATCATCACGTTTACCTCTCCAGTGCTCACATCCCACAGGCACAGAAGACTGGAATGGCTTGGATGAAATTGTGGGGTTGGTGGAGAACTTGGTTTGGAAGTCTGCTGCCTGTGGGTGACTTTCAGGGATATTGTGAAAAGGAGGATCTCCAGATGTGCCAAAATAATTTCTGATTTGAGTGTTTGGATATTTCGAGGATCAAATGAGTTATCAGCTGCTGA